CTCTGCCTGGAAATGTGGCCTGGTACCACCGCACCTGGAAGGTGCTGGGTGGTATCATAATGAATTCAGAGCTCAGCAAGGGATGGGAACATCCTGATGTGCTTGGTGCCGCGTCCTGCTGTATTTTATAACAGGGTGTTAAGCAGATTATGAAATATCATCTTAGATATTTTATACCAGGTACAAGCATTTTACTTCAGGCAGTAATAGATTGGGAAAGTTGCAAAATGCCTTCAGTGGGAAGCATCAACAAAATATCTCATTTTATAGTTCCATTTTTCTGGGGAGTATCTGTAGTGGCAATTATAAGTTATCTTGGGCTTCATGCTGAGGCTTTTTAAGTGTCTAACTTAAAATTGATCTTGAACTTTTCTGCAGTGTTTCTAAGGGTCCTGGTCTCTGAGTGTTTTATGTACACCCCACATGGAGTAGAACAGACTATGGTATTTGTTTCTGAACATTGGCCCTGTATCCCAAGAGTGCCTTCAGGATCAATTCCCACCCTTAACTGTGAGGTTGCCTGTGGGAGTGTTCTGCTCTCCTCCCTTGTGACACTGGGGAAGTCAAGACAGGAGGAAAGGAAGTCCTGCCCTTTGGCTCTGGGACGCCCTCACTCCTTTTTTTTTTTTTTTTTTTTTTTTTTAATTTTATTTAAGGAGAAAAGAAAAGAAAGAAAAAAAAACAGTGAAGGGGTACAAGTTATACAGATTTACAGGAGAAAAAAATGCGCAGTAGGCAATCACTAGTTAATGGATTACATATTGCCATCTTAGAAATAATTGTTCAAGTCACAAAATTAAAGCTTGTAGAGTGGACATTCCAACAATGATACTGCAAACAGTTCTGTTCAATGATCCAATAAAACTCTGTGATATCATTTTCTGTCTTATACATTTAAATATGCATGCAGTTATATAGTTTAGAGCACTTTCTTTTCCTCTCTTTTGTACAATGACTATTACACATTTTGGGTTTCATTGCTCCCACGGTTCTTATTGTTTTTTGGAAGAGAGTAAAACCAAATGTGACATAACAGAACAGAATCGGTCAAGGCAAAAGGGTGGACATAATAGATAATATAAAAACATAATACAAGGTGATCAACAATGGTTACCATAATGCCTCCCGCTATTTCTAATAGAATTGCCTATATCATTAGTTGTTATACAATTGAACAAAACCGTAAAGAATAAAACCGACAAAACCAAAACATTGGAGATATTGTAGGTCTTCAAAAGTAGATAAAAGTCAACGAGAATGGGCGTTATAATGAATCTCATTATCTTCTCAGCTGATGCCTAAACTTTCGAACCTGATACTATCCGGCAAAACAGAATAGAGGAACCTCAGTCAAAAACAAGATGGTGAGAGTAATACAGGGCTTCAAATCGAGATAATAGAAAGTCAAAGTGGGTTACTATATTATATCCTGCTATATTTTTCCCTTTAATTAAATGGATAAAAATAAAAAAGTAAATAATGGAGTGGAGATTGAGAAAAAAGAGGGCATAACAGCGAAACAGGGCAGATCAAAACATAACCATTTAAGCAGAATAGTGTTTCACCACCAGATAATCCTGACCCAAAAATAGTTACCATATTGACTCCCTCCCTGAAGTCCTTGAGTACAACTTCATATACTGTAGCATTAAGTATATCAAAACAATGTAAAACCATTTAAGAGAATGACAGCATTATAGAGTATTTAGAATCGACTAACAGAAAATGAACAATGGTCTCTGTATAATCTCCTTGTCCTTAAAAGGTTTTTGCTTATACTATCGTACATAACAAAATCCAATAAGATACAACCTGTTTAGACCATTGGAGACAGAAGAACAAAAGCTAGATGAGACTTCAAAACAAGATGGTACTAAATCAGCATTACCTATTAAGATGTCATTTTCTCCAAAAAAAGCTGTTCCTATCATCCAATCTTCTCTGTCTCATTTCTGTTGAGCTCTTTTTCTGTCAGTAGCTATCAGTTTGTCTTCTTCATTTTGTTCTCTGCTCCATTCGTTGTGGCCTCCCCGCCACGATTTCTGGGTTCTTTGTATTTTTCTTTTTTTAGAATATCCTGCAATACTTTCTGTAGGGTTGAATTGGTGGTTGCAAATTCCCCCAGTTCCTCTTTATCCTGGAAGCACCTCGTTTTTCCATCAATTTCCAGGGACAGTTGTGCAGGATATCTCAATCTTGGCTGGAGATTATTATCTTTCAAAGCTTGAATTATTTCTCCCCATGCTCTTCGTGATTTGATGGTTTGTGAAGAGAAATCTGCTGTAATTCTGATGGGTATTCCCTTGTAAGTGATCTGTTTCTTGTCTCTTACAGCTTTTAATATTCTGTTCTTGTATTGAATTTCTGGAATTTTTATTATTATATGCCTGGGTGTTTCTCTGTTAGGGTTGTTGGTAGCTGGGGTCCTGTATGCCTCATACATCTGAGTATCTTTACCTTTTGCTAAATTAGGAAAATTCTCCTGGATTATTTCTGTGAGTAGCTTTTGTAGTTCACTTGTTTGTGTCCCTACTTCTTCTTTTATGTTCTTAATCCTTAAGTTATGGATCCTCTTATCATCTTCTTGTCTTTGTATTATTGCTGTGTGTTTCTTTGTTATTTTTAAGAAGTTTTTCATTTCATTCTCCCATGTTTCAAGTCTGCCCTCCAATTCAGATAGTCTGTCCTTAGTTTCTTTCAAGCTGTTATGCCAGTCTTGGATAGACTTCTTAATTTCTTGATAGTCTCTTTGAACCTGCTTCACATACTCAATGCTTTCTCTGTTTTCTCCATCAAGCAATTCTCCCCTCTTTTTCTGTTCTTCCATTCCACCATCTGCTTTTTCCTGGGTGGTGCTTAGCATTTCTCTAACTATTCTGCATACTTCTAGCTTCAGGTCATTGATAACTTCATTCCTGAATTGGTCTATGAGGCTCTCTAGATGGCGCTTAATGTATATTGGTGCGGTGTCCACTATTGCCTGTTTCTCAGGATTGGGGGCCGAGGAGCCTTTTTTGTTGCTTCCCTTCCCCATATTTTCTGTTCCTTATAAAATGCAATCTTACATAGGAGGCCCGGCTTCCCTGCCTGTCAGCCACAGCCTGATCAAATTGCGCTGGCTAGTTGTTCCCGCCCACCGCTGCGCCCCAGGGAGTTGCGGAGGAGGCAGCCTATGCGGGAGTCGGTCGCTCCTCCGGGCCACCGTCAGGCTCTGGGATCTGGGTTAGGCCAGCCTAGGGAGTCCGCCAGCAGCGTCACTCAGGCCAGGCACCTTTCACCAATCCCGTCCGAGAGGGGAATGTGCGGCTGGAGTTGTCACCGCGCCCTGCTCTTACAGGACTGCCCGAGCCCAGAAAAACCTCCGCTGGAGTCAAACTGTGGTAGGGGATCAGTTTCTTGCTCACCTCGCCACCAGTCAGTTTTCCTCCTTGTCCGTCCTGTTTCCGACTCCGTTCGCAGACTCCCGTTCCCAGAGCTCGGCGCGTCTCTCCTTGCCGAGCCGCTGTGGAGGCAGCCAGCCGCTGGGCGGCGGGAAATCCAAACCGCGGTTTCCAATGGGATGCCCTCACTCCTGATGCTGTCTGGCAGCTGCTTGCTTTCACAGCCATTCGAGCTTCCGGGATAGGCTAGAATTCCCAGCTGTGGCCCAGGAGCCCCCTTGTCATGTTTAGCTCTGTCCTTTTCCCTCTCCTATCTTTCTCCCACTTCTCTTCTATCCCATTCCCCAATCCCATGCAGAATCCTTCAGTCTCACCCCATCTTCTCTGCTTGGTGGAATCCTGGATTACGGCACAGATCCCTTGAGAACAGAGTTTAGGTCCCCATCCTCATCCTCTTCCTGCCAGATTTGGACCCCAGTACTGTACTGTGCTAAACCCTAGCTTTGATCATTGCTGAACTAGAGTGACCACTACACTAAGTCCAAAGGAAATACCTCCGCTCCCATGAGATCCTTTAAAAATGAGTAAGCTCCTCTAGCTTGAAAAGAATGTGTGCAGAAATGATGATAGTAACGGCCGTGTGCCAGGCACTGGTCTGGACCCGGGCTACAGACCATCCATATACAGTGCAAACCCACGGGGGTCAGACTAGACAGCCCCGGTCTGCAGGCAGACTGAGGGAGAAGGCTGGCTTCGGATTCCAACTCACATGGCTGGTGAGTGTGGGCTGAGTTTGTAATCTAGACAGCCCCGCTCCCGGATCCTGTTCTTACACACCATTTATACTGTCTGTCAAGCCTTCTCCTTGATTGTGAAGGCAAATCAGACCAATTTTTAAAAATGTATAAAATCCTAAAAGCAATTAAAAACTTTAAATTGGCAATAATGTCATCTCCCCAAAGTTGCTACTGTCATATCCCTTTCTAGGTTTTTTTGTTGCATCTCTTTCTAGATTTTTCTCTGTGCATGTTTTAGTATCATGTTACCAGTGGCTGCCAAAAATGTCAGTGTATGGATTACCATAATTTACTTACTCATAGTCTCCCTGGAAGGCAATTTCTGCTAACAGTTTGACCAAACACTCTTCACTCATCCCTTTCCCATCCACATATTTCCCTTCTCGTGGAACAAAGATCACTTATCACTCTTCTGGCAACTTTACCGGGTCTGGATTTTTTGTTTGTGTTTGTTTTAGTAGAACAGCTTCAGAGCCTATCAGTGTGGTATTATGTCCTCCCCTACATGTAACGAACAAGTTGTCACTTTGAAGTGAAAATGTACCTTTGGAGTGCCCCACCCCAAACATCTACTATGACCGTAATGTTTTTACAGAAAGAATCATGGCACCTATAGAGCGGGTGGATGACTTTTGTGTGTCTGTCTTTTCTTTTTTTGGAAGGGTCTCACCGTGCAGTTCAGACTGGTGTTGGGCTCACTTTGTAGCCCAGGCTGGCCTTGAACTCATGGTGTCCTTCTCTACCTCAGCTTCCTGAGTGCTGGGATTTCAGGTATGCACCACTATCAGATTTGAAGCAAATAATAACTACTTTTTCCTCGTAGGTAAAATGGCTACAACAACAAAAGGTGAAACGCAGGGTGAAGAGACAGGTGCGAAGCGACCCTCAGACCTTCTATTTCAACGACCCCATTTGGTCCAACATGTGGTACATGGTGAGTAGGGTGTGGGCCTCTCTGCCCCCTGCCCTGGGGCATTTGCTGTGCTGTGTCTCTGGCATGGGTGGATTTCTCTCAAGCGAGCTAAATCCCTAGGACAATTCCAGACAGACACACTTCATCTTTAGTGTAGAACCCCTAATTCAAGAGGTGTACATTTGTAATTTTTTTTCTGAAAGTCCCTGTAGGTTTGAGGGGCTCCTTGGATAAGGAGGAAGTGGTTTGATGCGGGCCGTAACACTTGCTAAATGGGAAAGCCTGGCCCCTGCACAGAGCTACCAATGGGAGATAACGCTCTAGGACAATGACAACCAGGTTGTCAGGTGCAGAAGGAGCTGGGTGGAGAAGGGGGGTCTCGGCTGTCTAAATCAGGGGCTGCTTTTCCTCCTGCCGGCGTAAGCAGAGCAGTCTCTCTGTGGCTTTGCACTGTGTGCCTTTCCTGCATCAGGAGCTTTGTGTCTTCTATGCAAACAGCACTGTGGTGACAAGAATAGTCGCTGCCGATCAGAAATGAATGTCCAGGCGGCGTGGAAGCGGGGCTACACAGGAAAAAACGTGGTGGTCACCATCCTGGACGATGGCATAGAGAGGAATCACCCGGACCTGGCTCCAAATTATGTAAGTGAAGATTCAGAACTGACATGCAGATGATTGAGCCATGCCACTCATTAAGTGCATATTAACTTAAAAACCCATAAAGGATCATCCCCCACTAAGTTAAGCAATAAAGGAGACTGCTCTGGGAAAGTTGGAAAAATAAGCACTCTTTCACCAGCTGCTGTCCCAGTACCAGACAGGAGGATTGTAGAAACACTGGACCACATGTTTGAGGAGTCACACTTCTAGGAATGGAGTCTAGAGAACCAAGAAACATCTGCATAGAGTTGGTCCTCATACAGATATTAGCTACGTGAGGAACTGCAGGATTACACGCTGGCTCTGGACTCAGCCTGGGCATCCTGACAGTGCAACTCATTAGCTCTGAGATTGTAAGCAGCTTGCTCACCTCACCTGCGCTTCAGTGTTGTTATATATAAAACGGGTTAATAAGAGGACTGCTGTCTTCTAGGGCTATGGTGGGGATTAAGTGAGTTCATAAATGTATAAAACAGCACATGGCAGGTAGTCGATATGATAAATGCATTAAAGACTGTAACCAATGTGAATACCTAACAGCGGTTAGGTAAACCGTACTGGGTCCACATGATAGCCATGATAAACGAATTTTGAAATCTGTGTCAGTAACCCTGGAAAGCTTTTGTGACATGTTTCCAAAGGAAAACAAAGAATTACATGACTACTATTGCCGTAAGTGTATGAAGAAAAATGTACACCTTAAGGTATATAATTTTAAGAGTTCTGATACATAGGATGACGTGGACAAACCATACAGACTGCATCCCCAGTGACAACAGCAAGGCATAATGGGCAGATACTGTGTGATTCTCCTCTGGGGAGTTCCTAGAGTCGTCACAGGTCTAGAGATAGGAAATAGAATGATGTTTGCTGGCAGCTGGGAGACGGGGGTGGGAAGTTAATGTTTCACGGCACAGAGTTCCAGCTTTGCAAGATGCAAAGTTCCTGGCAGACGCAGTGCAATGTAAATGTCCTTAATGTCACTGAATTTAAAAGATGATAGATTTTATGCAATGTGTACTTAGCACAGTAAAGTAATCTCTATACGTGCTAGTTGTAGTAAAAGAGAAACTGTGTATAGCTTTCCTTATTTTTCAAGACAGGCATAAAATAGTTTAAGACAGCACTGTGATACACTATGCCATCTCTCTTCATTCACCAAGATTTCATTCCTAGGATTCTTATGCAAGTTATGATGTCAACGGAAATGATTATGACCCATCTCCTCGATACGATGCCAGCAATGAAAACAAGTAAGTCACTTTGTCTTTTCCTTTGCTTCTCTGTTCCTCTCCCTGGAAAATTGTTATTGAATTTCCTCACGAGGGCCCTGGACCGGCCATGGGTGCTGTTGCAAAATCATCCAGGAGTCAAAGCCGTGCCTGGCATGGCCCCTTCTGGCACAGGGTGGCTTCTGTAGAATTAGCCTCTTCCTTTAGTGTTGTCACCTCTGCCGGTCAGCTGTTCCTGTTTCCAGACTTCTTGACAAATGCATTCAATACTCTAATGAATGTGGGTGCCTCCCATTTTAAAACAGTTGCCTTCACATCTCAGTCTGCATAGCCAACCGTGTTAAAGACACGGGTTTGGTGTCCTGGCACACGGGTTATGGCTGAGGTCTCGTGACTTCCTCTGTGACCTTATGAGTAAGATGGAAGGGCAGGTGTGTTGCTGGGAAAATCTGAGCTCAGATCTCAGCGCCGCCACCCCCTGGCCTTGCAGCACTGTGCACACTGAGGGGTGTTTTAAAGACTTGATGTCTTAATGGCTTCTCCCTGGAGATGACATCCACACTTCACAGGGTTATTGGGAGGGATAAATGAGGTGACAGGCAAGGTTTGCACACTGGGGTGCTCAGGAAACCGTGGGTGTCATTTACATTGCACAAGACACCTGATCTCTCCAGCCCCACCACGTCGTGACTTAGCAGGTGATTGTGCAATGCAAGCCCTGGCCCTGGGGCTGCGGCTCGTCTGCTGTGTCTGCATGTCCTTTTCCTGGCACTTGTCCCAAGTGCCCACCATTTTTTTCCTCTTTTTGTCTTTTTTTGAGACAGGGTTTTACTAGGCAGTTCAGGCTGGCCTTGAACTCACTTTGTAGCACAGGCTGGCCTCAAACTCACAGTGGCAGAGGTCTGGCAAGTGCTGGGATTACCCCCATCCCATCCTCCCCACCCTTCTTTAAAAAATATTTACAGGACAGTAACAAAAGCCCTTCTCTCTTCCCCAGAGTTGATGAGGTGCTTGTCCTCTGGGTCCTCCCACCATGGCTGCATTAATTAGCTTTCAGTCACTGTAACACAACGCCTGAGATAACCATCGTATAGAGAAAAGATTAAGCCTACCACAGTGGCACACCTGTGGTCCCAGTGATTCAGGAAGCTGAAGCAGAAAGATCACTTAAGCTTAGGAGTTTGAGACCAGCCTGGGCAACAGTGTGAGACTCGTCTCTGATAATGGGGAGAAGATTCATTAGATCTCACACTTCAGGAGGTTCTAGCCCGTGGGTCATAGGCCACATTGCTCCCCCTGGGCAATGCAGCACACTGTGGTGGGGTACACAGTGGAGCAAGTCAGCCAGGGGCCCCACACCCCCTTCAAGATCACCCTGCAGTGACCTAGGGGCCTCCCACAATGCTGCTGTCTGCAGTGCCACCCTAGGGACCAACCCCTTAACCCATGAGGCCTCAGTGTCCCCATTGCTGCAGTGCTGTTTCGATGTATGGTCAGTTCCATTCCAAGGCCCCACACCCGTACCCACAGCACACTGTACTGGACCGAACTGCTGCGTCCCACATAATAGGCCACAGAGCTCCTCAGAGGGGTGGAAGCCTTAGCCTGAGGGCTGCTTTCCTTGCCACATGTCCCAAGGTGCCCTTCCTGCCCAGTAGTGAGGATGCCTGGGGCCAGGGGCCTGTTTCCTGGTCACTCAGGGTCACACAGGAGGCAAGATCCATATCCCATGCAGTGACCCTTGAAGGGCAGGATTGGATCCTGGCATAAACTACCATGCTATGTGACCCTGCAAGTGGCCCTGGCCTTGGGGCTTGGAGAGTTCCAGAGAACACAGATGACTCCCTTCCAAAGGGCAAGCACACAGACCCAGGACCACTTCTAAAGACAGCTTTAAATTTGAACCAGTGATCTGAATCTCCGTGGACTCTTCTCAGTGATGTGCTCCTCCGAGTCGCCTGTACATTTCAGCCTCTGCTGGAGGAACTGACCCAGGGTGGGACATCGGAGGATGGGGTCATTACTGAGGAAAGCAATTTGTTTTTCTGGTAATTTCTTCATCAGCCCCCCAGCTGCTATTGAGATTCAATTTAGAGCATCTTCCCCCGGCTCCTGCTTAAGTGGCCATAGAAATGATGAGAGGACTCTCCAGGCTGAGTGTAGTGCTGTAGGAACACGGGGGACAAGACATAAGATGCCAGTACAGTGCGTTCTTCCTTTTGGTCTGTCAGTTGGGCATTGATTCCGCTGCACCTGGGTGCCGAGCTATGGGTCATTAGTCACAGGAGACACAGCCAAGACAGCGTGGCCCTGAGCCTTGAATAGCAGTGGCCACGAGCCAATGACAGTGCTGGAGGTGTGGGGGGAGAGGACACAGGTGCTGGGAGCTGGTGCCCCTAACTCTGACATGGAACTCAGGAGAAGTACCATGGGAGAGATAAGCCATGAACAAGCGCTTGTAACTTGCAGGTGACAGGCAGGGCCAGCCAAAACTGGGCCGACGCGCCCTGTTAGAGGTGGGGTGACGACAGGGATGCAGAAGATGAGCTCTCCTGCATCCTCAGCCAAAAGGCCCTGGTGCGATGCACAGAATTCCTTAGCAATGCCAGCCAGGTTCTCACTTTGTTTTCTCTTTCGCTTCAGACACGGCACGCGCTGTGCAGGAGAAGTTGCCGCTTCAGCGAACAACTCGTACTGCATCGTGGGCATAGCATACAATGCAAAGATAGGAGGTAAGGTAGGCAGCCGTGAGCAGAGGGGCCCGGGGCTGGTGCCACGTTGGGAGCTGCCTTTCTGCAGGGCTCAGCAGCCTCGTGTCCTGTTGCCCTGGGCCAGAAGCAGCCGTAGCAGTTGTGCCGTGGCCCTGGCGGCTGGAGCAAGTGGTTGGAACCTGAAAAGCCTTTGGTGATCCCCCAACATGGCAACATTTTCTCTCCTGGGGTCCTGCCCACCTAGCTGTTGACTCTCCCCGGGCTGTGAGACCACCCTTTCTAAAAGTGGGTCCCTCTGTGGCTCCCTGGCCCTTTCCAGACAGATTCACATTGTTCCCTGGCCTTTCCTGGGCCCGGATTCCCATTCCAACTGTAACCCACTTCTACTTCCCCTGTCCGCTGGCCTTAGCAGAAGGACAGGTGTCAGTGTCTCCCGGATAGGCCCGGTCTTCCGTGTTATGCATGGGCTCGCACCATGCCCGTCCTTGCTCTCCCCGCTCCTCAGTTGGCTCAGTTCACCTGTGACATGCAGCCACCTCATACCTGCCGTGCTTGGTGAAGCACCACCTACAGCCACTCCTCTGCCCCTGGCTTGCTTCCCAGGGAGTCACCTCGGCCGGTGCCCAGCCCTGAATGCCTCTGGCCTTGTTCCAGGTGTGTCTGGCCGTGTCATTTAGCTTCTCACATGGCTGAGTCCAGCTGCCCTGGTTAAAATAGGGCTTCAGAGCACAGGATCTCATGTCTCTTAGTGCCCCAGTGGATCCTTGCAGAGTGACAGCTCAATTGCCAGGTATTCTGAAGTGCCCACTAGATGTTTGTCTATCACTGAGCAGGAGAGGGTAGAGGAGAGGGTGCCAGACAGCCTTGGGCACCGTCAACCTCACTGGCAAGGCATAGTCACCCCTCTGTTAGAAGATGCACTTGATCATCAGAATTGATTTATCTTCCTTTGAGTGAGCAGGTGGACCCTACCTTTGGGGTTGTGAGCGACTTGCTCCTCCAAGTCCCTAGACTGGCTGTATTTGTGTCATCTGGGGTCTGTTAAAACGACTGAATCCTTCCTCCCATTGCAGAACTGCCATCCAGAATCTGTACCATAACAAGATCCCCAGAGGATTATCTACAAATGGTACTTTGAAAAGGCTGGCTTCAGAGTATTCGTAAAGCCTGCAGTAGCTAAGCTTGTAAGGAGGGGTCAGTGGAGTAACACACACAACCTACAAGAAGTCTGGGAATGTGACCCAGAATACTTGCCTAGCATGCAAAAGGAGAAAAATAATGCAGCTTCTTTACATTAGCTAGCTCTATGCTCACTGCAGAATTATAGGCTAAGTTTCTCAGATTCTAGAGAGAGTGCATTCAATGGCAGAGCATGGGACTGGGAATAATTTAATTAATGCATAGATTACCTTTAAGTGTGTGTTATGTGTATAGTTCTGGTGTAGACACCAATGGAGAGAAGAAAGAAACGCACAATCTGAGTCTCTGTGAGCTCGGCATGTCTTTGCGGTGAACAGTACTGATGTGGAAGGCAGTACACGGCTGAGTGCTGATGTGAGAGGGGCAGCTGGGGAGCTCCAGGAGGAGGAGGCCAAGCACGCGGTGAGGCAGAAGCTTGAGGACATGCTAAGAACTTGGCTTGCCAGAGGGTTTGGTTGCAGATGGAAAAAGTGCCAAGGATGTGATGGGCCCACAGCGTGTGTTCTAGGAATATGCCACCTAGGGTCGGGGACACGGGGTGGGCCTGGGTCATGGGAGACAGGCATGGCGTTAAAGCTGGCCTTCACTCAGGTGAAGGAACCTTTGACAGCCAGTGGTTTCCAAGCAGCCGTACACAGCTGTGGCGTGTACTTATCCTCCACTTATCCTCTCCTTCCCTGTCCCTCAAAGCTCATCCCTGGAGGAAACCACCTTTGGTGCCCCCGACAGGCTGGCCTCCCTCTCGGAGGGTCCTGTGTGTGGCAGTGCATTTTTCTAAGGTGCCTCTGGAGCTGACCGTGGAATTAAACCTCTTTACATCTTTTTCTTTCTCAGCAGTTGCTTAAGAGATCATAATAGATCTTTAAACTTATCCCAGCCTATCTGGAATTAATAATGTATTACTTCACGTATAACGTTTGACTCTAAATTATTTCACTTTGCACAGCTCTCATCCTTCATGTTGTTACCTTCATGTGTTTCACTTCCTGGGTTCTAAGCCCACCGACGTTGTTGAACTTTAAACGCTTGATTAACTTTGAAATACTGTGAAATGATCTTACCTGCGTACATTCACTGTGCCCTTGGTCTTCCTTGGTTTCTCTAACTTCATATTTCTATCTGGCTTCTATTTTTCTTCTGCTTAAAGGATTTGTTTTAGTGTTCTTTGAAATTTCTCCCACAGATGGTAAGCAGTTCTCTCAGATTATAATCGAAAGTGTTTTTCCTTCCTCTTCGTTGTGGAAATAAACCTTGCCGATCCCGGAACTCCAGCCGTACATGCTTTCTCCGGCTGCTGTGAAGAGGCTGTTCCACTGTCTTCTGTCATCTGTAGTTCCCGGTGATGAAGTCAGTTGTCGACCCTCTCTGGTTACACTTTGTGTAATTCTACCTCTGGCTGCTGGGGTGGCGTTCCTTGTGTCTGTGCTTTGCCTGTGACTATAACACTCTTTGGCAGAATGTTGTTCATATTACTACAGCTCAGGGTTTGCGGTGTTTCTTCATGGGTTTTTATTTAATCAAATTTAGAGAGCATTTTGTTGGAATTTCTTCATATTTTTAAATTCATTTTCTCTTGCCACTCCTTAGCTCCCATTTATAATTGTTAGACTTTTTCCTATCCCTCACAGCTTACTGATGCTGTGTTCATTTTCAAATTTTCTTTATTTTTTCTGAATGCTTCTATTTAGATGATTTCTGTTACACTGTTTTCAGGTTCACTCAATCGTTTTTCTTTTAATGAAGGAAAAACAAACAAACCCAAGAAAAACAAGAAACAAAACAGACAAATAAATAATAACAAAAAACCCCAAAACAATAACAGGTGGTAGGAACTTAACAAAGGTTATTATTTTGCATAGTTATCTTCAAAAGAGTTACTCAGATTACCAGATAGAGACGTGCAAAGTTGACCTAATCCTGTATTAATTGTTTTGTCCCAAGAACTAATAGAATTAGTAGTATAATTGTCTTAAGTGTATATATACAAATTTATATCTTTTTCCTTTTTCTTCTCTCCTTTTCTCTATCCGAGTTATTTTTCCCCTTTGAGCAGTTTCTTACCCTTTTATAATATTTATTGAAGATTTTGTATCCTATTTACTCTTTCAGTTTCTTCCATTAGGGAGACAATACAGTATTTACACAAGAGAGTTTGATTTACTTTACTTATGAGTATGGTCTCGAATCGCATCCATTTACCTATAGAAGCCTCAATGTAATCGTTCCTTATAGCTGAGTAGTACTGCATGGTATAAAAATAACACCTCTTTTTTATCCATTGCTCAGGTGATGGGCATTTGAGTTGTGTCCAAGGTTTGGTTATTACAGATTGTGCTGCTATAAACATGGGAACACATATATCACTGTGGTATGATGTTTTTAGTTCTTCTGAGAATATGGCCAGTAGCAGGATGGCTGGGTCAAATGGGACCTCTAATGCCAGCTTTTTGAGGACTCTCCACACTGATTTCCACAATGGTTGAACCAGTCTACCTCCCACCAATAGTGTAGGAGAGTTCCTTTTTCCCCACAGCCTCTCCAGCATTTGTTGTTGGTGGTTTTCTTGATCCTGGCCATTCTTTCAGGAGCAAGATGGAATCTCAGTGTGGTTTTAATTTGCATTTCTCTAATGAGTAATGATGCTGAACATTTTTTTTCATATATTTATTTGCCATCTGTATTTCTTCAACTGAAAAGTAAGTATTCATCTTAGATGCCCATTTTTGGATTGGGTCTTTGAATTTTGGGGGCCTGATTTTTAAAAATTCTTTATATGTTCTAGACAGAAGTCCTTTGTCTGAGGGACAGTTGACTAAGAATTTTTTCTGAATTTGTGGGTTTTCTTTTTACTCTGTTGGAGAAACTTTGTAATAAGACCAGATTCTAGTTGTTGATTCTGGGAAGTATTTCCCGTGCAGTTTGATTTTTTTGTTTGTTTGTTTGTGAATTCTCTACCTACCCCTATGTCTTCAAGGTTTATACCTACTCTGTCTTCCAGCAGAGTTGGTGTTTCTGTTTTAATATTTAGATCTTTGATCCATTTTGACTTTAGCTTAGTATATGTGATAGGTGGGGGTCTAGTTTTAGTTTTCATAATATGGAAAGCCAGTTTTTCCAGCACACTTACTGGAGAGACTACCTTTCTTTCAGTGAACATGTTTGGTGCCTTTGTCAAAGATAAAGTGGCGGAGTGTGTTTGTAGTTGTGTTCATATCTTCTGATCTATTCCATTGATCTTCAGGTCTGTTTTTATTCCAGTACCATGCTGATTTTATCACAGTAGTTTTATAGCATAATTCCAAGTCAGGAGTTATGATGCCTCCTGCCTTGCCTTTGTTGCCCAGAATTGCCTTTGCTATTCTAGGTCTCTTCAGGTTCCAGATGAATTTTAGGAATGATTTCTCTAGATCTGCACTCACTGTATCTTTTGTCAGGCCCAGTCCATTCTTAATTCTGTACAATGATTTTTTAAAAATTTTTTCTATACGATTTTTAAAAAGTAACACACTTTCTGTCTTTGGTTTCCATTTGATTCTACTTTGCCACTTAAACAGCTCTTCCAAGTTCCTCATCTCCTTAGTCATTATATCTATCCTTTAGGCTTTTTAACAGGTTTACAAGAGTTACTTTTTGAAGTCTTTGGTACCACTTTAGGTCTGTTAAGAGTGTATTTCTGATGATAGATTTTACCCTTACAATAGGTCAAATATTCCTGTTCTTTTGCACTTGCCTAGTAATTTTTTATTGGTGGTAGATATTTTATATTGCATTATACCGCATTCTAAAGACTCTGGATTCTTTTCTCATTACTGTAGAGTTTT